CACTACAACCTGTCTGGGAACTTCCAAGCAAAAGAGCAAAAGCCAGCTGCTTCCCTGTTCTTCCACTAGAGATCTTAGAACACTTGTGTGGCCATAGTGGCCATCTGAGCTCTGGGAGGCAGATACTGGGTCCCATTCTTTAGCATCTGTTATTGGATGGGCCAGTGGCTGTGTCCACAGCTATCAAATGAAAGCTTCTGCAGAAGAAAAGGCCTCTACCTGTTCCTGCCCCACCCACCTTCCAACCCCTCTGCCTCCAACCCCAACCCCAACCCCTCCCCCCCACCCCGTTTTAATCATCAGGAGTTTGGGAACCATGCCATAGGCTCCGCCCAACAGTCCCTCACCCGCAGTAGAAGACAGCCTTCTGCCAAGAGCGCAGCCGGTCAACCTTCTCAGCTACTGTGTTTGCAAACTCCACAAACTGGCAGCAGAAGGGAGCCTCACACAACAACAGGATGAAGGCGTTCATGCTGCAGGGCAAAGGCAGAAAGGACAACAATAGTTTACAACCTGGGGCTGCAATAACACTCATGCCAGTGGCTCAAGAACACTACCATCTCACAGGCCCTGAACTTCTGTAAACACCTGAATACTACAGGGTACCTGTTCTACCACAACCACCCTGCCCCACCCCACCGCTGACCAGCATCCCTAACTACCCAGGCATCCTGAAGGAAGAGCCTGGGGGTCCGATCTCTTTATTGTTCCAACAGTGAAAGGAAGAACTAAGATCCCTGCCTCCATCTTATCTTGATCCAGCATCGCCTTCATCCATAGAACTTAGCCACACTGCCCTACATCCATCTGGGAGCAAAGTGCCACCTGATTAACAGACACAGTTCATGTAACTCTTGACCCCTGCCCAGCTCCCCACCACCCACTGCCAGACTTCCAGATGCCAGCTCACTGTTCCACTAATCTGTATATAACCTCCATAGTCCCCATCTGTGCCACCTTGGGCCAGCATAAGCCTTTGTACACATCACCAAATCATCCTGACCTGAGGCCCAAGGCAGGACCTACCTCTACCTTGCCCCATGGCTGTTTAGCACCCTGTGGGCACTAGCAAATGCAGTGCTTCCCACACACCTTGAGTGGCCCTCACTCTGGCACCCCTGTCACTGGGATCTGGCTGCCCAGGAAGACGGTAAAAAGCAGCTCCCTGTGGATGCTGTAGCCAGCAGTTCCACCTGCATCTGCCCCCCTAACTCCAGCCCTGCTAATGGCCTCACAGCTGATCACCCTCCTCTCTTTGTCATAGACCCTGAATTCTGACCTTACACACCATGGCCCTGAAGCTCCCAGAGAGAAGGGCCCATTGTGGTAGACAAGGAGTCTACAGTGTCTGGCTGAGTAGATGCTGCAATGTCTGTGACATTGTCCCCAATAAAGGCTAAAGTAGCTACCAGGAAACCTGGGGGCGGGAAGGGGATAAGACCTGCAGCACATGCCTTGAAACCCAGAGAGGCAGGACAGTCACAGCTACTTACATCATCCACACACCAGCTGCGATGTTCAGAGGGTGGATGGTGACACAGTTGAAGAGTCCAGAGATCGCACAGGCTTCAAAACAAAAGATAACAGGCAGGAGTTAGCAGAGTATGGCAGAGCTTGCAGAAGGCTGTCTGGACAGACACTGAGAACATAACGGGGGTTCCCTTTAGATGCTCAACATTAGGGCTTCCCTCAGGAACCACCATCACCTGAGACCATGGAAAGTAATAAGTATACGTCTGAAGCTCAAGTCTAGCTACTTTAATACTTGGGGGATATAGGCCGGCCCTTGGTTCCAGGTTATTATCAAACCCTCTCAAGAAGTCAGGCCTGGGCGACTGAAGAGATGGCTCAGAGGTTAAGAGCACTGACTGCTCTTCCAAAGGCCCGAGTTCAATTCCCAGCAACCACATAAGTGGCTCACAACCACTATGATGGGTTCTGATGCCCTCTTCTGGTGTGTCTGAGGACAGTATACTCACATATATAAAATAAATAAATCTTAAAAAAAAAAAAAAAGTCAGGCCTCTTCTGACTTCAGTGAGAACATTAGCAAGGCCTGCCTATCTGTATCCACTAGGTAAACTACTCAAATGTCTTCTGACTTGGAAAATGCCACTCAGAGGTACTTGGGGCTGTTCTGTTATTTGTTTGGTAAAGCTGTTTGGTTTTGCTTTGTTTTCCTTTGAGACATAGTCCTGCTCTCTAGCTCAGGCTGACCTCAAACACTGTCTTGCTCCCCCAGCCTCCTGGGGGACTGGGAATACAAGCATGTTCCACTGTGTTTGGCCACATCTTGAATTTGGGTCAGGACAGGGATGCCTCTCATGATACACCAGAGAAGATCCAAATGACAGTCCCACACCTAAAACATCAGCCACATGGCCCTGAGTAAGGTAGCTTTGTAAGCTCATTTCTTCTCTCCTACACAAGGGGAGACTGTGTCCCAATACTAGGATAGCAAGACACCATGAGGGGACAGTGTGTGTGCTCTTCTCCAGAATGTGACTGCTTGCCAGTGTGGAACTCTAGAGAGGCTCCTCCTCTCTGACTGCACCTTGGGGTTAGAGTCTGCCCCAGCCACCCACGCTTCACCAGGAAGTCTCTCAACAGGAACTCTGGGAGCCTCTGAGGACATTGCTGGGAGCTGCCCAGATTGGCAGGACACAAGCTAAGGGAGGGCAGAATGTTGGCCCTCTGAGGCTGCAATTAGTACCACCTTATTAAACTTGTAGCAGGCCCAAGTCACCTGATCCCTCCACTGCACCTGGAATTCCACCATTTTCCACTTTCCTGTGTTACACTAAGCAAATGGAAGCTGATGCAGGAGAATGGACCAAATGACCAACTCTTTTGAATGGCATGGCTTCTATGTCACAAAGTCTCCTTCTCTAATAAAGAACTCAAAGCAGCACTCATCCCCGGGTGGCGGCAGCAAAGCTTCCAGCGCCACAGAAGTGAGGGACTGTCTACCTCCTGCCTGTGTAGAGCTAGGCCTGGTCTCACCTGAGCCTGAACTCCTGTCCTCAGCATTCCATCTACAGAGCTACTCCACCATGCTGTCCTACAGCTTTGGGAAGACCAGGTCACAACCCAGATGAACAGGAGTCCTTTGACAACCAAGGACTCAAATACATGCATCCACTTGAGTTGCTAATGCTCACGCCTTCCACATAAGGGAGATATCACTATGCAATCCTTTCTTCCTCAGAGATACTGTCTACAGAGGCTTTTGGGACCAGAATAAGCCCCTCCAATAAATAAATAAACCCCTTAGAATATCCTTCATTCCAAGAGAGGACAGCCCTATGTCAAAGTGACCAGCTAAGCCACAGCTCCTATCAAACCCCTATTGAGTTTTTAAAGCAAATACACATTTTCCTGCCCTCCTGTGATATGCCAGTATCCAAAACCTTGATGCCCAGCCCCCATCCCAATCTGCGGATTCAGGGAACAATTTAAGTTATTGCTATAGGTCTCCCCTAAAGTTTCACTGATGGCTTGACCCAGCAGGAGGGTTGAGGAGGCCTTCTGGACTAGCACAGATATCCATGTTAGGAAGCACCGGACTGGGTGGGATTTCCAAAGTCGATCTAATCTAGAAGTCACGTGGTCACCGATTGAATCACTGAGGTGCAGGGAGGGTAGCTGCCTAGGTCATAGTCAGGATCTTCCTTGTTCCTGCACCCCTTAAGACCACCTTGAAATAGATAACTGCCGTGGAGAGGATTTGCTCAACCTCAGCAGACTCCCTCCGGAGCTGCCTTACCAGGGCAGCACATACCTAACCCTACCCTATCCATCTGACCAGCAAGATCATCTGGACAGCTGGGGCTCCAAGGTATCCTCCAGGCAGGACAACAGATTGAGTCTTCCCCTACCCACGTAGTCCCTGTTCCGGTGCCAGGTAGGCAATGGATCCTCGAAACTTCCTTTCCTGAGACCAGCACTCACCTGGGCTTCTAGGAATTCATAATGAAAGGAACACACAGGATTTTGTTTAGAAGGCCAGCAACATAGCTGCACTTAAGAGGCGGACCTGCTTTTCTCTTTTATTCTTTTGGAGCTCGAGAAGAAAGTCTGCTGGTGTGGAGAATACCAAGCCGGTGAGAAGCATTAGGAGAGTGTGGACAGGAAAAGAATCTGAGTCTGAACGGACAATAAGAACCTGAGAAGCTGCCTCTCCGGCCACTGCCCAGCCACCCTGAGAGGCCACTCTCCTCCTGGCATCATCTGACCCTCAAGCAAACTTCCAGCCACTAGAGAGCTCCGTTTATGGAGCCCCTCCCCCCATTTATGAACCAGTTTTGTCTAAAGACTGGGAATTTGGCAGGCCCAGCCCAGCCCAGGAGAGCATCACCAGGCCGAGGCGGGGCCGGGAAGGGGCAGACGCGCGTCCTCTGTGAGTCTCATCTCCTCTGATCAAGGCCAGAACAGCTCCGCTGTAGCCATCGAGCTCTGGCGACGACGGACCGCAGGCCTGAGGCCAGGAGCCATGGCAACCCCAGGGACGCCCGCTCCCCGGACGCGGTACTCACACACGGCCCCTAGCACTCCCGCCAGGCGGCACAACCAGCGGTACCACCATGTCATGCCCTCCTCCTGCGCCGGCGGGGCTGGGCCGGCTCCGGCGGCGCCCGAGCCGCTCATGCTTAAACGCTGCGCGCAGCTCCGGGCGCGCACAAAGGGACGAGTCCAGCCGCGCGCGGCCTTGTGGGAGAGACGGTGATTAACATAGAGAGCGGACCCGGAGGCCATATCCGGGGCGGGGGGAGGAAATGGCGTACATTAGCATAAGGGGCGTGTTTACAGACTTTACAGGCGCCCCTTGCCACCCAGCAAGTGCGCTGGATCCGGTCTGGCTTTTTTTTTTTCCCCCCAAGATTGGAAGAATAGAAGTGGCAAAGGCCCTGTTCCGACCTCCAGGGAACCCCGGCTTGCAGTAGAATGAACTTTCAAGCCAAGCTTGTTATGGGCAGCAGGTTATGGGAGGAAAACTCCAGTCTGGTTTCAAACCTGTGTCCTTTATTAACCACTGGAGGCTGGGACTGCTTTTCAGATCTCCACCTCCCAGTCCTGGCCCTTCTGCACCTGGAAAAGGTCACTAAAAGAGGTTCCCTAAGGCTAGCAGGCATTAAAACCTCTCAAGAGGCTAGAGTTGCATATTTCAGGGATGGTCACCCTTTCCCGAGTAGGGTTGCCTCCCTTTCCAGCCAGCTATTGGAGAGAAATCTAGGACAGAGCTAGACTGTTGTCCTGTTACGGTGTCCTCGGTGGGATGGTCCAGTACTGGCCCTGGAGGCTGGCATGCGTCTCCAGGAAGCCAGGGCTAAATTCCAATTCAGCCTCACTGCCTTCTGACTCCCAGTAGAGCACCTGCTGCCCCCAAAATGTCGTGGTCCTCAGACTGTGGATATCCCTGATCTGTGGAGAAGCAGGTAGTCAGGAGGCCATGAGTGATCGTTATTTATAAACGCCTGGCTTCTCAGAATCATGTTTGTTCCTTACAGGAGCCTACATGAGCCTACCCAAGAAACTGAAGCTCAGAGACTTTGGGCCCCTCCCCAGGTGCAAGAGCTAGGATCCTGCTCAAGACTAAGCCTGAGGTGATCTGATGCCTTGTAGGGCATACAAAATCTCAACCTTACACATGTTCTTCTAAAACAAAACAAAAACACCAGACATGAACATGATGCTTCCACTCATGGTCAATAGGAAAGGCCTTCTCTCTTCCTTCTTGCTAGTAGAGCCACAAGCATTTGTTGGTGAGTGAGTGGAGGAAACCCTCCTTCCCATTCTTTCCAATAGTCTTAAGGATGAAAAATAAGCTAAAAGTGTCCCTTAAACCCAGCACTCCCTCCCTCCTTCCTAGAGACAGCTATCCAGATTCACATCAAAAGATTACCCCACTTTTGTCCCCATCTTAGTGGCCTCACCAAGACATAGTTGGCATTGGTCCCCTCAGAAGCAGTGCCCATGTCACTGGCCAGGGCACGGATGGCAATTCGAGCCTGTGGGGCCACACTGATGAAGACCCTGCAGGTCCCTGCCTTCCTCTCATCTGGGCTCAGTGAGGGACTCACAATTTCACCTCGAGGTCCAAAGAGCTGCTTGTCACATTCTGCAGGCAAGAAAAAGCATAGACTGGGTGTGGGCCACCTCAGAGAGACTACTGACACCAGGGTGGTCCCTGACTAACTCTCCTTTCCCTGCTGCTGGCCTTCACTCTGACCTCTTCCAATAGACTAGCTTCAGGCAGTGATCTGAGAGCAGCAGGCAGGGAGGTCTCAGCAAGAGAAGTGTTTTGTACAAGCCTGACAACTTAAGTCTGATTCCTAGGACCCACATGGCAGAAAAGAACCTCTAACTCCGCCCCCTGCCCACCCCCCAGCCCCCCACAAATACACTCTAACTTTTCCTTTAAGGGAAAGGGTAGCTGATGAGTGCTGAAAGGCTTTGGTTCTTGCTTCACAAGTCTGGTGATCTGAGTTCAATCTCAGGAACCCGTGTAAAGATAAAAGGAAAAAACTGACTCTGTGGGGTTGCCCTCTGTCCTCCACACCCACACCATGCCATGCGCATGCCCACATATGTACATCGTAATAAGTAAGATAATTTTTAAAGGAACTGAAAGGCTTTGGTGCCCTTCGTGGGGAGAAGGCAACAGTGGCATGTTTTGGCCAGGGGATTTTAAAAGAGGAGTCAATAAACTGGGCTACACAGTACTTAAAATGCTGAGCTGGCAGATAAGTTGAGTTTGATTATGCTGTCCAGTGCTGTCATCAGTTGGAACTCCACTGCACTTAAGCCTCTCTCGAGGCAGAGTGTCTGCATGCGAGACATGAGAAGCAATGAAGAGGAAGCCAGTGGGCTCCATGCCAGCACAGTTCCCTGCAGGCAGAGGCTGGGGGTGGGGTGGGGTGGTAACATGAAGCCTTTACAGAGACAACACCCCTGTTGTATCATTTCCACCTGAGGCCTGGGTCATGCAAAAATGTCTGGAATTGGCGAGGTAAGACGTCTTAAGTCATCCTGCACTTTCCCATTAAAACCCCGAGGTGATCCTTATAGGATACTGTTTGGGTCCTGGGTAAACTGGGAATCCATGAGATGCCCTCTTTCTGAGGAATATACAGTGCAGGCATCTTCCTTGTGGGTGCTAACATACATGTACAAGTCACAGGAAACAGGCTGAGGAAAAGTGGCTCACAAGCCTGAGAGGACCTCAAAAGAACTGAAGACCAGTGTCAAGGGAATGAGGCAGTGAGTGGCCTAAGGAATGGGGCAAGGACAGGAACTATATCTACAGCCACCTATCTGGCTTCGTGGCCACAGAGGAACTCCATCCTGACCACGTGAAAGATGTTGCCTGCTCCCAGTTTCCTTTGTGGCCAGCTCTCTCCTGCCCTGCCCATGGCCCTGTCCACAGTAACACAGACACACCCACCCAGTGAGAAGGTAGGAGGCCCAGGCACCCAGTGTACCTTTGTGGAGGTTCCCCGGGGCAGGTCGGCTCTGGTACTGTAGCAGCACTCCACCTTCTGACACCACACGATGCTGCCTCACCACTAACGTGTTGGTTTTGGTGCTGAAAGTCATGCCAGGCATCTTCCAGCATATCTTCCTCCATGTGAACCTACCCCAGAGCAGCAGCAGCTCCCCTAGAAAGGGCGAGCAGTGAGGAACCAGTACCCCTACTCCAAGCTGGCAGCAGTGACTCAGGGCTGAGTTCCACTCTCCCTCGTACTGGCTAATGTGACAATGTAGGGGTCACATTCCCCCCGAGTTTTCTATCTTATAAATGGAGATCCCCATACTCCAGTCATGAAGCAGCTTTAAAAATGGAAAGTAGGAACATAGCAGGGGTATCACCCTGGCAGAAATGGGATTCCCTGGAGTTGTGCTGCCAGAGCCCCAGCCCAGCAGTTGCCCACATGCCTCTGGATGTACCTGCACTACACTTGAGGGAGCTCTCGAGGATTTGGAGGGTCACCACTTCACCTAGAGGTCTCCCAATGGCCACCACACAGTCTAGCTGTCCTTTACCTCGCATGTCAATGGTTCCTGTGGGCTCCAGGTACTGCCTTCCACAGGCACCTACCAAGGAGAAAAGGAGTGAAGTAACCAGAACAGAGCAGGGCTGGAATCCAGAGCTGGCAGGGGCTGAGAAGGGGGCTATATGTTTCAGCAATTGTCACCATCCAAGGCACTAGGCCACTTCTCTGTGCTTCAGGGAAAGGGAGGCAGTGTGGTGTGTGGGCTTTGGACTGCATGGACCTGAGCTCCTGGCCCTGCAATCTTCAAGTTATTTGATGGGGATGGAAGTAAAAGTGTGGTTTCTGAGCTGGAGAGATGGCTCAGTCAGGAAAGTGTTTTCTTGTAAGGATAGGGACCTGAGTTCAATCCCCAGAACCTATATTTTTTGGAGGTTCACACTTGAAGTCCCAGCACTGAGGTGGCAGAGACAGGTGGATCCCTGGGCTCAACCAGCCAGCCTAACCTACTTGGGCAAGCTCCAAGCTAATGAAAGACCCTGTCTAAAACAATATAGACAATTCCTGAGAAATGACACCCAAGGTTGTCCTCTGGCCTACACATGCACACATACACACACACACACCTACACCTGCATACACACAAACATACACATGTAAAAAGTGGCTTCCCTTTGCCAGATGGGAAGGAGGCCCTGAACCCAACAATACATGGTCTAGCACCTGAGTGCTTATCCTGTGAGATGCCAACTTCCCCTACAGGAAAAAAGAAGAAACCTAACCAGGCTCTTTCAGGTTTTCCTGGAGCCCCAGAGACTGGGAGGCTGGGAATAGGGTGCGGGCCTGGCCTTGGGGTTGGGTCCACTGCAGAGAGGCAACAGTAACGGCAGCCTGGGTCTGACTGGGAAGAGTAGCTTCTGTGTGAGTCAGTGAGTGGGAGATTTCCTGCCCTGCACAGGGTCCAGCCCAGCAGGCTCTCACGGTCACTGGCTTGGGCAGGTGCTGGCAGAAGTTGGCTGGCACAGGCACTTGGGCCTGGGGTCCAAGGCAGGTGTCATGCCGGCGCTGGATGCCATCCCCACAGGAGACAGAGCACTGTCAGGAAATAAGTAGAAGATCATGTTGAGCTTGTCAAAGAGTGCCAAGACAGAGTGACCACAGGACAATGTGGTGTGACAAGCACCATACAGTGAGATGTCTCTGCTTTACAGGTAAGGAGACTGGAGCTAAAGAGATGCCTTTAAGGGACTCACATGTATACAAGACCTGGGATTCTGGTCTCAAAGTCCAGCCATGGAGAGATAGCTCAGTAGTTAAGAGCACTGTCTGCTCTTCCAGAAGTCCTGAGTTCAATTCCAGGAAAAACATGGTGGCCACAGCCATCCATATTGGGATCCAATGCCCTCTTCTGGCATGCAAGTGCATATGCATATAGAGCACTCATATACATAAATTAACTAAATAAATCTCTTTGTCCCTCGGGCCTTAAAGAAGGGACCAGGGTAATTTCCTCTGCCTGTAGTTCATTTGACACTGCATCTAGTGTTTGCCCTGCCCTCCTGCCGTTTCTGTCCTCATCTTATGCCCAGAGTCCTTCTGACCAAGATGAGGTGAGGGAGGGGAGCAGTTTATTCTATCTCTTCAGCCTCTGTGCTGCCTACAGCTTTGAATGAGCTCCTCCCAGGGGAACCAAGCCCTACCCACCTTGGTCTCTCTAGGGATTTGTTGGGTGCTTGTCCTAAAATGACAATAGTCTCTTTGGTATTGGGGCTTCCAGAATCTGCAGACCCCAGGCCTCTTGAAGCCCAACTGTCTGGGTCTCCATGCCTTGCTATGTCCCTGGCTGTAAGGGTACACAACAGCAGACTGTCCCCCTTCTTCCAGGGGTCACAGTGAGTAAGGACCATAGGCCCCCTTGTGCACAAGGATCCCTTGCTGATACCTTCCTTAGCCTCAACTAGAAGTCCCGATCCCAGGACCAGCCTCACCTCTGTCCAGGTGCTAATGTGCCACCGGTATGCACAGTCAGCAATGAGGCAGGGGACACTGGCCGGGGGCCGCACCAGAGCCTTACAATAAGTTTCATCCACCTCATTGTCATGGCCTTGGTCAAGCTGCATGCAGGCCACCATTTGCGTGGCAGTGCCAAGGCCACAGCTGGCTGAGCATGGGCCAAGGGACAGGACTTTCCATCTGCAGGAAGAGAAGATCCCAATGACAGTTATTTGGGCCTCTGTGTGTGGGACTATTGAAGAGCCTTGGCTTCTGCAGCAATGATCTGCACAGTCTCTGGCCATGGCTCTCCACTGACCTCACTGAGCTTCAGTGTCGCCCTTCATGTTTGTGTCATTGATTGGCCCAGTGCTGCTCTGGGACCCTTGGGAACCAAGGCAATAGTAGGAGCCAGACCAAGACCCCACTTCAGGCATATATGGCCTGCACCTTGCATCACTGGCATCTAACCCTGCATAGCTTTTGTCCTGGAGGGGAGGGATTGCCCTGTGCACTGCCAGATGGGCATGATTAACTTCTTCCCACTAGGAGCCATAGCAAATATGGCTTATTGTGGCCATTAAACTAAAGTTGCCTATGTGCCCTTTGAGGAAGAATCATGCCTAGCTGAGAAACTAGTGCCCTACAAAGAAGAGAGACTGTAGACAGATCAGTGCAGGTTACAGAGTGACCACACAACACCTCAGTGGTAACCAGAACTCACATGTGCATGCAGTTCCTATGGAACAAAGAAAGATTTAGCTGGGTGTGGTGGCACATGCCTACCATCCGAACACTTGAGAGGTGAAGGCCCGAGGTTCAACAGTCCAAGGCTATCTTCAGTTACATAGAGAGTTTGAAGCTAGCCTGGGCTGCATAAGACACTGTCTCAAAAAAAAAAAAAAAAAAAAGCAAAAAGACCTAAACCATTTATAACTATAACATGTAAAAATAAAGAGCACAGATGGGAAACTTCAGCAAAAATAAAGAAGGCAAGACACATGTGCTGTGGGTCCAGTAGATGCTAAGGTACAAGATTTAAAATCATTACATATATAGAAGGAAAAGTCAAACAACCTGATTTAAAAAAAAAAAAAAAGCATTGGTGTAGGGCTGGAGAGATGGCTCAGTACTTAAGAGCACTGGCTGCTCTTCTCAGCAATCACATGGTGGCTCACAACCATCTACCATCTGTTCTGGGTTCGGACGCCCTCTTCTGGCATGGAGGTGTACATGCAGATAGAGCACTTGTACATAAACTAAATAAATCTTTTTTAAAAAGCTTGGCAGACTGTGGTAGTAGCTCTTGTTTCTGCTGGGAGCGACATCCCTGCGTTTTCATGCAGAGTTGAGCTACTACTTACACTTGAAATCTCCAGAGCTCCAGAATAACTGTACTCCATATACACTGGGCATGCCCCCCAACAAGCCCTACTCCCTCACCTGAAAGGACAGGGTTCTGGGATACAGGCCTCACGGGTGAGGCAAGCCCTGGCACTGGATGTCAGGCAGGATATCTTCATGATTATCCTGTCCATGAGCCTGGGGGACCACAGCCCACACCATAGGCACAGTATGGGACTCTCTGTGCACCTGGGCATAGCAGGTATTCAGTAAATTAGAATAAGCAGTGACTAAATGCTCTATCAACATGTGTGCCTGACTAGGCCAGGTGACACAAGCCAAGGGTCCTAAGTTCACCTGGGCTACAGAGTGAAGCTAATGAGCATCTTGTGAGACCCTGTCTTGACATAAAAGGAAAAAGGGGAGCTGGGAGTATAGTTCAGTGCTAGAGTGCTTATCTAACATGCACAAAGCCCCAGGATTAGATAGATGGATGGATGGATGGATGGATGGGTGGGTGGGTGGGTGGATGGATGGATGGATGGATAGGCAGATAGATAGGCAGATAGATAGATAGATAGATAGATAGATAGATAGATAGATAGAGATAGATGGGTGGGTGGATAGGTGAGTGGGTAGGTGGATGGATAGACAGACAGACAGACAGATGGATGGATGGCTAAGAGTTATGATGCACACCTTTGAGGCAAAGATAAGTGGGTCTCTATGAGTTCCAGGAAAGCCTGGTCTACAAATTCTAGGCCAGCCAGGGCCACATAGTGAGACCCTGTTTCATAAACATTAACTAAATAGATTTTTTTAAAAATGTGCCTATGTTATCACCATCCCAGAACCTACAAGTGTACTTTATTTCATCTGGGCCTGATGGCAGAGCCTAGTACTGATCCATGGCTGCCTATCTCCCAGGCAAGGTACTCACCTAGCAGGACAAGGCTCAGGGCTGCAGTCCTCAAAGGAGCCTGGCCTAGGCACTGGCCAGCACTTGGAGTGAGCTACAGACATAGGGCGGCCATGGTTCAGCTGCACACAACGAACAGCCAGTGGCACTCGGCCACCTCCACAAGTTACTGGGCACGGTGCCAAGACTTGAGTCTCCCACCTGAAGGAAGAAAGCCAAGGCTTCATAGGAGGTTAACCCTGGGATCAGATTCCTTCCCCTGCTCTAATCCTCCCAACTCACCGAGCAGGACATGGATGAACCCTGCAGACCTCCCACCGGCTTGGGGGCTTACTAGCCATGCCACATAGCTCTTCCTGGACAGGCATCTTGAGGACAGAATCCATGCACAGAAAATACAGTTCCTTCAGACCTGTCAGAAAGAAGCAGGAATGCCCTTGACCCAGCTTCCAAGGACTACAGCATTTGTTCCTTGTCAGCTCTAAAGCCAAGATCTGTCTGCATCTTAACAGCTGTGTGCACTTGGACAAGTGACTTAACCTCTCTGATCCCCTGGTTTCCATACAGTGGTCTCTACCTAACACAGTCATTTATAGTGATTGAATAATGAAAGGTGCCTGCTGTTGGAAGCTGCTATTTTACTGGGAAGCATGGTGAGAAATGCTGTAACGGTGTATCTTGACCTTTACACGGGCTCATGGAAGCAATTCTACTTCAATGCAGCAGCTACAAACAAACAAATAAACAAAGATATAAAAGTAGGAGGGGGACTTGCTGTAGAGAAAAAGATATCAAAGGATAGCAGAGATAACAAAATACAGTGTGTGTGTGTGTGTGCATGTGTACACGTGTGTGCACATGTGTGCACGAGTATGTGTGTGTGCGTGTGTGCACATGTGTGTGAGAGCATTGTGCATGTGTGCATGTGTGTAAATGTGGAAGAATAAATATCTTTGCTTAAGGAATGTCTCTTGAGGGTGGGGGTGAAGCTCAGATGGCAGAGTGCTTGCCCACCATGCACACAGCCCTGGGTTCAATGCCCAGTACTACACAGTAACTGCATGTGGACAGGAACTAGTTCTATGGCTAAGAGATCTATGTTCTTTCCGAGGACTCATGTTCAATTCTCAGTACTCACATCAGGCAGCTCAGACCAGCCTGTACTCCAGGCTCAGAGATCTTGAGTCCTTTGCTGCCCTCTGCTGGGCATGCACTCATGTGCAAAATCCTTAAATACATACATACACTCATACATATACACATACAGACACATAATGAAATATTTAACAAATAAGTACTATGTGTGGTGGCACAAGTCTACAATCCCAACACTCAAGAAATGGAAGTGGGAAGATTAGGAATTCTGGGCCATCCTTGGCTACATAGAGACCAACCTGAACTACATGAGATCCTGATGCATCCATCAAAAAAGTATTATTAGTGTTGTTTTCCTCCATCCATCCCTTAGGGATCTCTTTCTGGACAGTTCTAAACAGGTATGGTAAGTAGTTAGGGCTGTTTAAACATGTGTGTCTTCTCACACCTTTCTCTATAGAAAAACTCAGAAAACATCAAATGTTGACAAGGATGTGGAGAAACTAGGACCTGGTGCCCCACTGGTAGGAATGTGAAATTCTGTTCTGAAAAACAGTGCAGTGAGGCCTGCAAAAGCTGAACATAGCTTGGCAACATGATTCTGCAATTCCTTGTCCTGTGTCCATCAGGACTAAAAGCCAGGCTAGGGTACACAGGCCCATGCTCAGAGCAGCACTGCTAATGAAAGCTGAAAGGGGAGTGCAAGTAGCTGTCCCTCACGGTGATCCAAACCAGCATGGGCCAGATATACAGCAGAACACTCCTGGGGGTCAAGAAGCGATTCCAGCACTGTTATAACATGAATGAAGCTAGTTTACAGAAGCCAGTCACAGAGTGACACATTGCACACAGCTGAGGTCAGAGGTAGGAGTCACAGCCTTAAAGGAGAAACTCACATGTAGGTGGCCAAAGGCTAGAAGGTGGTGAATGTTGGTGTTTAATGAAGACAGGGTCTACATTGGAAGGAAGTAATCTTCTAGAGATGGATGGTGCCAGTGGCCACACAACAAGATTATTACCACTGAGTGAAACACTAAAAATGTTTCAGAGTTAGGGCTGGTGAGGTGGCTCAGCAGTTAGGAGCTCTTGCAGAGGTCATGGGTTCAGACCCCAGCACCCATGTGGCATCTGTAACTATTTCTGGGGGATCTGATGACTCTTTTGACTTCCATACATACACACACATACACACACACATACACACATACACACACACATATACACACAAGCACATATACACAAACAAAATACATATTTTTAAATGTGATGTGTGTGTTTGTGTGTG